AGTATAGTATCCGTGACTCAAAAGCGCTACTCGGAGCGTCAATAAACTTGTATAGGGACGCTCGTAAAATTTTTTTCTGGAAAACGAAGCAACATTCAAGTATGAAAGCCCTTTTGAACTCGTCTTAAGTTTGCCCGTATTTACGAGATTTCAGCTTAGACGTCACGCGGAATGAAAGATTAAGGGGGCAAACAAAGTAAAAGGGAAATACTGGTGGTAAGGGTTAATAGTAATAGTGGGGGAGAAACAGATTCGAGGTGGATGGGGTGGGAGAGTGCGCGCGCACACATACAAATACGCAACACGAAGGGGGATGTAGGAGCGTTGAGGGGAAAGAGAGAAGCTCCCTCAAAGTTTTGGTCAATTGATCCTACGTTTAATCGAATTAATGAAGGACGCAAACGAAACTTTGTTGACGAACACCCGATACGGTTTGACAAAATGCCTGGTTTCCTGGGAAATATGTTTACTTTGCTTTTCCTAATGTTAATTCGATTTGCAAAAGACACCGAAATCTCATAGCCTCGAGTTGGAATTAAATCGATCGTCCTTTTATATTGACGTGCACGTTTTCTTTGTATTAATGCACATTATATAAATATTTTTATAAATATTTGACGATTTGGTTATATTGCTGCAATGTAAATTTTAATTCACGTTATTGATACAGTAGTGATATTAAAATTACGTGTAAAAAATTTAGAAAATAAATATATTCTTTAATTTAAATACGGCCGATATATTTATGAACAGTTGCATAAATGCAAGAAATGGTCAAGGTTTTGATATTCATTTGCTCTCCTCAGTTTTATACATACTCCTTTCTTGTTATTAGGTATAAAAAGTTTGCTCGTGTTATTATTTGAAATTGTGAAACGTGGGACTGGCAGGAGTTAGGTTATAAACGTACAGTTGGTAGCAAAAGTTTTCAGCTAGGATTGGCGAGCACGAAAGTATTCGATTGAAATTTATATCGCGATCAATGCTCCTGTGGATTTTTAGAGGAGTTGAAAACTTGGGAAAAAAGTATAAAAAGTATTTGCGAAGAGTTTAATTTAGTTTTGCAATAAAATATACGATTTTATTTTATCCCATAAGGGAATAATATAATATTTAACTGACCTGTATGACGCAAAGCATGCTCTGTAAGTCTTGCTTGTGTATTATTTCATTTGATGTAAGAAAAAGTTGGCAATTGAAATAATAAAAACGGGATAGGGGAGAGAATTCTACTGAGTTATATATAAAAGGCTCCGAACACCGTTGTTTTTTTGATACAAAGCAGATTAAAATAGAATAAAACGTTCTTTTGTATACATAATATAGGACCGATCAATATTTAAAGACTTTAAAAGTAGGTAAAACCAGCGAATAAAAAGAAGAAGAGAAAAGAGAGAAAAACAATGATGACTTTTTTTTTTAATATTAATAAATAAATATTAAACGAAATATTTCCGTTTTTTTGCAGTATTTATACTTTTGACTTGATACAATTAAATCGTTTTCTGATGTACATTTGATTTAGTATTCGCAATATTTAATGGGCGAAGGTAAAGGGGAATGATGCATGAATAATTTATTTAGGAAACGGCAAAAACCTTCGACTACACGCAACTTGTTTCAAGATTATTTCATACAAACGGTTAACGAGCTACGTTATATATGTATAAATGTAATATTGCTAGATGTTTTGTATAATCCGTTAATAAATGTTCTTGGTTTATTTGCAACGAACGGAAGAACAGTTTATCCATTATAAAAGTTCGTGACAGAGATAAACATTTCCTTTTATCAAAGAAGAAACGTCTCTTTGAATGTCTCGTTCATGGATTCAGTGCAAGATTATATTGAAAGAGAAGCTGGCAGAAAATTCAAGAAGTTTAACGTTTGTATCTCCAATAATCTTCCATGAATGTATAATTTAATATTTAACCGCAATATTTAAAATGTTAACGAACTTATTAAGAAATTTTGAAGTGATTGCAAATGAAACTCACTTCAGTATTCAAACAAATGAAAATTTTAAGTTTCAAAACATAAATCAATTTAGTTTTTTTAACATACTTCACTTAAATATTATACACAAAGTACGAAGAGATTTAAAATATCATCAATCTTTATAACTGATTATCTTTCATAACTGAAAATAGATTTATAAAAATTTAATATACCAAATATAAAATATAACCAATATAGTTTTTTTAATATAAATATTAAAAAAAACTTTTTTAATTTTAAAAATTTTAATTTAAAATTGAAATATAAAATGTGAAAAATAAATGAAATAGTACCGTCGTATAAATTAGAATTTCAGATTTTCTTTGAACTATTTAAAAAAAAATGGGACAGAGTTTTTGTTTTTTAAAATCTTACGTGTTGTTACGGCAGGCACGTGCCAAACGCATTGTTTCTTTTTTACCGAGCGAGAAACAGAAGAGCGGCTTTCCTTCGACGTGTAAACGGGACTTTATGCGCTGGTTATTCATGCCATTCGCGTGTAAGTACGTACGAGCTTTCGCACATTTACGCTGCTCATTCATACAGGGAAAGAGATATAAATACGCGTGCGCGTTGCAAACACGTGCACATACACCCACGATGCGTAACGACCATATAACTTCCCCTACTCTTCTACAACCCCTTCCTCTGTACCATCATTCCCCCACTCTTTCTTCCATTGCTATCTCCTCTTCATCCCTGTTCCCACTTGGAAGCTTTTTATTTATTTATGGAATACATTTCGAGATTCAATTTTGTCTACGTATCCTGCTTGTCCCCCGTTTATTTGTCTATTTGTTTTATATCTTTTCACGTCTTTGCCATTTTCTTCTTTCCTCCTGTTTCTTATTTCTTTGTCTAGTTTTTTATATGTTTGAACGCGAGATACTCCGTCAATGCTCCGATCACACGAAGCATGTGTACCGTTGGTCGGTAAAAAGTTTTTCTTTTAAACCTGTTGTATAAAGCGGGAACATCATACGCGCGTTCATCTAGTTTTAATTATTTGTTTTAATCCCGTTCCCGATACTCTGTTGTTTGATCATGAAGTTGTTTTTCGTATACATCAGACAACATTCATGGCATACAACGTTTATTTGCATCCGTGGGTATTAAGAGACGAAAGTTTGATTATCTTACTTGGAAACTCGCCACAGAATCGATCACTCGAGTGCTGCGTGTCACTTAAAGTGTTACTAAAGTTCTGGCACTGGGAAGAATGGAATCTTGCGATCACAATTTTCCAAACACAAAGATTAATTTTCAATTTGAAAGAATTGAAGACAACGGTTAATTGTCGACGAAAGTAGAAAAACAAAATATTTTAAAGGATGAAGCGGAAATAATCTTGAACAAAGAAAATGGATTTAAATTATTATGTGAACATAACAATAATTTACAAATTATTTATAAATAATGCAAAATCGAGAAATTTACTGGATCTAAATTTTAGCTGGAAAAGAGTCTATCATCGTACACGATGCTGGAAATAGATTCGGTTATTATTAGAAGAAATTGTACACGGATACAACTAATAATGACGTATAATAGTATTTTCGTCTCATGGTGGAAACTAAAGGCTTGGAAATTCGGTGGCAGCATACATAAGCGGTAGCAGCCCGATTAAACTTTAAAATGCAATTATCTCAAAATAACTGTGCTCGGCAGTTAGCAAGTCTGTGCTCAGTAGGGCAACGTAACCCTTATAATTGCTCTGAATTAATACATCAAACAGCTATATTATCTAGCATGCACTATGCTATAGAATAGTGCTATCTGTAATTGCGTATTCTGTTTCATTCTTGCAATTACAAAATATATTTATGTTGAATCTCTAAATATTAAATATATATATATATTATTTATTTATTTATTTCAATTACTATTGATTAAACAGTTTTCTAATTATTTAATCATATTCCATGCTCCATGCTGCAATATAATTCTGTAATTAATTATTGATCAAAAAGTAAATATCATTCTGTTAAATTTACAAAATAATTATAAAAACCTTATAAAAAGAATGTCTTCGTTGTTAATAATTAATATTAAACAAATTTTTTCCATAATCTTTCAGTCCTGAAAGAGTTTGGTTTCCAAATAATGGATTATTTTGATCATGGGCCAATTTTTTATATTTGATCATATAATATATGTACATTTATTTCAAAATTTTTGATTCCAATTGAGTGAAAATTCTTCCTTCTTTTTTTGTTCTCTGATGAAGCAAATCTTTTATATCTTGTTTGTAATATTTATCGAAAAGAATTTTAAGTAAAAGTATTCAAAATAATATTACAAATCATATAAAAGTTTGAAAATTGAAAAAGTATTCATCATAAGCGTATATAACGCAGTCGACGTCAAATACAATCTTTTCAACGATGAATTGGATTGGATTAGAAGATTCTTGGTCGAATTTTCATCTTCGTTCCTCTTCCCCTTTCTGTTTCACGTTTCTCTCGCTCGTGGTGCCGTCTATTTCGAGAATTTCGTGTCTTGACACAGCCGCTGAAAAGGTGGAATGAGCAATAGCGAAATGGAAGTCGCTCATCTCGATTTTCGCGACACGACATTCGGATGAGAATAACCATTCTTGATTCACGAACATTTTCTCTTCTTTTCTTCCCTTTCTATCTAAAATTTCTCGACGTTTACAGAATTCAAACGACGTTGCATTGCTTATGAAAATCTAATAATCCTACGATTCTATGAACATATTTTCGTGAATTTGTTATGAAAATAATTTCGTTTATATTTCATCTTTATATTTCTTCGTGAATTTATTATGAATAATTAATACCAATTTCCTTCTCTGTATTAAACTTTATCGATCAATATGAATTTGATTTTTTTGTTACGTCATAATTGAGCAATTAAATTTTAATAAGGTGCAAAATTAATCTTTAAACTTCCATTCATTTTTATATAATTCTTCCATATTCAAGAATCATGAAATATTTCATAACAATTTGTTTGTATTAAATAAACCTAGAAAAAAAGATTGTCCACGTTATAATATATTTTTAATAAAATAATTTACAACACAAAGGAATATATTTTATACGTTAAAAGTACTGTAGAGATTTTAATAAAAACAGAATCACAGAGACTGGTACAACACAGGACCGCAAAAGGATTAATTCAAGAAAAGAAGAAGAAAAATCGATTCAAGACTCGGTAAGAAGTTCGATGTGAACTAGCAACGTAATTAAAGTCCCTTTTTCCATGGCTCAAATGTCCTTTAATATGCAAAACGAGTCAATTAGAATATCAAACGTGACCTCGAACGAGAGCACGCACTCCTGTACTAAAATAACGTGGACACACACATAAACACACATATACACACACCATTTTACCGAGAATCGTTCCACCTTCCGCAATCGTAGCTTCTTTTGCAATCATTTTCGGATTTGTTCGAGTTCTCTATCGTGGAACATCGATAAAATTGTTCTCCTTCTGAACAATGCTCAGAGTTACGACTTCGATCGAAATAGTACAGAAGTTTTATTCGAAAAAACAAATTTTTTTTTTTATTTATCGTTTGCAATTTCATCAATCACTTGGTTATTACATACTCGGCTGAAAAAAATAAATTTAAATTTAATATTTTTTATTCGAATTTATCTTCTATCCTCTTAATTAATGTGGTTCTTTTATTTTCTGTTTCAGGTATTACTGAAGTCTTTTATTTACTATTTTACGGGGGAACGATAGTAAGGATCTGCCGTTTAGGTAAGATACTTACTTAACGAAATTAGAAAAATAGTTTAAAGTGATTATGCACGAATTGATAAATAATTATTTATACGAATTTTTATAATAAATATCTCAATGGATAGGAATCTGTAATACGAATACAAAAGTTGGTACGCAAAAAATGTTGATTGAGGTTATAAATAATTTTAAGTTTGCGTTAAATGAAACGAGACAAAGACAGAGTGAAACAGTTCCATCTCTGTCACATCATCCTCTCTACTCTCTATTCTCTTTCATCTAACGAAAACTTAAATTGCTCATAATAAATAAGCCTCAATTACCTATATTTTTGTATACCTGTTTTTAGCTCCTAGAATCGATCCTCCAAATATATCTCGTTAATATAAATATTAATATTATTATAAAACACTGTATTGAAGTTCGAGAAGGATATTGCAGAAATAGTTCGTAAAAGTTTGACTAAAATGCGTTCAAAGCGATTCGAAGCTATGGCAGGGCTGATCAAACAAGAATGAGGTTGGTTAAATGCGAAAACGAAGTGCTCTCTGGAAGCTTTACGCCAAGCACGTACACGCGAGCTGCAATTTACATGCTTTTATGCGGTGCGAAGTTTACAACAAGCGCGTACACGTGCCACCGGCGGAAAAGTTTGCTGTTTTTCTTACAAACGCTCGTTCGAGG